AAATGTGATTATACCCTTCTTGGATGATGAATAGCAACAGACAACACGACCTCCACCTTTTCAACAGGAATTCTTTTTGTTTTTGAATCAGCTATTTTTATTTCCTTTTGAAAATCAAAAAAGTGGTAGATAAAAATAAAGTGGCTTAAAAACTATTTGATAGGTAAGCACCTAAGCCTCAGCAGTTATGCTTGTTGAATTTTCACACATTATATGTCAAAATCATTAGTGTCTAGCATTTGTTCCACCAGCATACATGTAGTTGCCCATCTATTGTTTTATGAAGCTCAAGGGACAGATTGAGAACAAGCAAGCTTAGTATAAATTTGTATCATTATTGATTAAAATGAGAGAAAAATTACAACTTGTACCTTTATTTCATAATTAATTTCTCTCTTAAAATGTGTTAACTTGCCCTTCCTTTCCTTCAAAAGTCTAGGAAAAAAACAACAACAGCGAAAAAAACCTGTGAGCAATTTGATTGGAAATTTACAATATTCAAATATGAATTTTTCACTGTGAGACTGATGGTTTATCAATTTTTACCTTAAAGAAGAAAGACTGACACTCTCTGGTAGGTCATTGCCATAAATGTCAACATCATCTAGATCATCTGGCTCTAGTTCACTCTTGAAACAAAATTAAATTGACTCCAATTACAATGACACTATGGATGGACAAGGGGATGCGGGTGGGACCAAGCTGTTCCCCCATTCCTTTCACATTTTTGACAGCAGTTGCGATTAACATATCTTAAATGCATGTAATTTGTGTATACTTTACATAAATTGTATTTTTACCTTAAGATTTGATGGGCTTTGTTAGTTAAACATGAAGATTAAACATAATAATACAAGTGAGTAAAAATATTCAGCTGCAATCATAAAATTGATTGAAACATGATGCTAAAAAATAAAAATGATTGACTGTGGATTTCGAAGCGAAACTTTGCTTACCTACAAACTTCGTCCAATTCTCCAATTGTTTCCATAGAAATTCCCATTTCCTCAGATAATTCGCTGTATGAAGCTTCGTATCTATTTCTTTCTAAGTCATCAACAGATAATTGTCTATAGATCATGTCCTTGAATCCCTTCACAGAAATTAATGGAGAGCAATCAGATTGCTCTTTCTCGTCCGCCATGTTGGTACGACTTCTAAACTGAATGATGATTGGATAGAAATATTGACCAATACAACGATTTGTTATGTTAGCACTTCTTCCAAGGGACGACGGGAAGGCCAGGGAAGGACATATTTGAAAGCAACAAGAATTTTTCGAAGATTTTATTTTATTGACAAAATTAGATAGGTAAAACAAATCCGTACGACTAAAATTATAACGCTAGGTTGAGCRGAAATTGTACATGTACAAGTTTTTACTTATAAAATCATGGGCTCGCCCATTTACAACTGGCAAGCGGAGAAGACAAGCGTCAGAGACCGAATCACTTTCCTCTTCAACAATGAAATTCTAAGTGACGTTTATTTCCTCGTTGGAAAAGGGCCCCAACGACGAAGAATACCAGCACACAAGTTCATTCTATCTGTTGGTAGTGCTGTATTTGATGCTATGTTTAATGGTGGCATTGCAACACAATCAGACGAAGTTGAACTTCCTGACGTTGAACCTTCAGCCTTCCTGGCTTTGCTTCGCTTTCTGTACACAGACGATGTACAAATAGGRCCCGAAACAGTAATGACGACTCTTTACACCGCCAAAAAGTACGCTGTTCCTACCCTCGAGAAAGCTTGTGTTGATTTTTTGAAGACAAACCTTAGTCCTGATAATGCTTTYATGTTATTAAGCCAAGCGAGGTTGTTCGACGAACCTCAGCTAGCTGCGCTGTGTTTAGACTGTATTGATAAAAACACGGCRGAGGCCATTAATGCCGAAGGCTTCACAGACATTGATTATGACACTCTTAACGTGGTGCTTCAAAGAGATACCCTAAATATTCGAGAAAGTCAGCTTTTTACAGCCGTGGCTCGATGGGCCGAATACGAATGTCAAAGGAGAAGAATTCCAACCACTGCGGACAACAAAAGGTAGACAACCATGCTTGTTAGTCTTCGTTTTACTTRTGTGTTCAACCCAATAGTCGTTTGGGATCAACCTTGGTACTAATGGATCAATGTTCGCAGTGTACAACCACAAAAGGGTTCAYGATCTGTTAGTGATCAAGGTGTCTTTGATTGAGTGTAAACAATACACCTCTGAAGTACTTAGTGTGGATTAGTGCTAAATAGTTTTGAAGATRCCAGAAGAAACAAAGAAATTAGGATAATTTATTATTTTGTTATCTACTTCACAGTGATCGCACTTTAATAAACCGTGCGACTATACAAAATCTAAGTAGTACTAATTTGTGCTGAATGTGGACCTGAAGCAATAATGAATGCTTCATTTGTATCAATTCAATTTCATTTGCATACCGCATGCTCGATTTACTAGATGCAACTAAATAGCACTATTTAGTTTGTACAGTTGCACGGTTTAAGTGAGATCACTCTATAATTTTCAGTAAACCATGCAAACACTTTAGTGATGTACCACACTTCTTCATTGTGCATGTGTTTATTTTCTCTGTATATCATAGGTTTTTAAACTTAATTGTACAATTACACTTTGTTTCATTCATTTGTGAAAACATTTCTATTTAAAACTCCATAATTTTTAATCATATTTTACTTCCTCTTCAGGACAGTACTGTCAAAAGCGCTATTCCAAATACGCTTCCCTCTGATGACMGTYGAAGAGTTTGCAGCRTCCACACTGCAGTCCAATGTCTTAACAGACAAAGAAATGGTTTCACTCTTCCGTCACTTTACTCTTAACCCAAAGCCAACTGTAGACTTTCTTGATAAGCCACGCTGCTGTCTGACAGGACGAGAAAAAGTCATCAATCGGTTTAGTAAAGTGGAGTGTCGCTGGGGTTACAGTGGGACCAGCGATCGAATCAGGTTTACGTGCAGCCATAGAATCTTTGTTGTTGGATTAGGTATGTATGGTTCTATTAACGGCCCCAGTGATTTCCAAGTCACTATTCAGYTAATAGAATCAGAGACAGCAAAAGTTTGCGGCACWAATGATACGGCCTTCAACTGYGATGGCTCCGAGAGCACWTTCCGMGTGATGTTTAAGGATCCAGTAGAGGTTCTTCCAAATGTAAGCTACACAGCRAATGCAACATTGAGAGGTCCCGACTCACATTATGGTACTGGYGGACAAAAGCGTGTGGTGCAYGATCTTGAYGGGAGAGARAAAATTGTATTCAATTTTTATTATGCAACAGGGAACAATAATGGTACATCAGTGGAAGACGGCCAGATTCCTGAAATTATATTCTACACATGATAGTGTTAGAGGGCCKTGGTCAACTAGTGTCCCTTACAACTTTTTCTTATGCAAAATGCAAAATAAAAATTCCTCATATATAAGTAAAAATTCACTCTATTGTTGATTTATGCTCTTTGAATGGAAATATTTTAAGATTCTGAAAATTGACAGATGGAAATTGATTTCAAAAGAATATTTCAAAAAACTTGGCTTTCAGCATATGAAAAATCTACCCAATCTCTTTGAATGCTGGTTGACCATGGCTCTTTAGTAGTCTTAAGGTARACTGTACCAATAGGTAGCAATAAAATAGCATACAAAGTGCACATTGATATTAAACAATTACTGTAAAAATGCAAACAAGAAAATAATTAATATTAGTTGGCCACAAGAAGGCTAGGCATTGCACAGCCAGGGGTTAGTTATGAATAGTGGAAAATAGTCAGAGAAAATGGAAATAGCAAAACCAGGAGAGCCTGATTAATTACAAGACAGAATGAAAGATCTTTCAAGACTTTATGATAAGTATTTGTGTAGGTTATGGTACATCCAAATACACAATAAAAGTGATTAAATGAAGGGTGGTGCATTCTTTATTCTCTCTCTTGAATTTATATTTATAATTTAGAAAATGGCTTCAATAATGTCATCAGTTTATAAATTATTTATAAATATTTTTGTAATAATTTGAATTTAATGGGAACTTTCAGCCTGTTAGGTTAAAAGATTGCTGAAGAGCTGTGTGCTTAAGTAATCAACGAAATCTTTTGATTTATTATATTTTTCTGTTTCCACTTTGTTGTTGTATTTTGGGATTCCTGTGTAAAAGTCGGGACACCTGTCAGCGGTATCACTCACTAGTACCAGTACTATGACCGTGAGCCAGCTCATCATTTCAAAATGGACGAACTTGCTTATAGCGATAATTTGTTTAATAAGAGACAGTTAGGACCTATTGGCTCAACAACGTGAGTAAAAGTCTTCAATGAATCTTTCGCTAGTGAAGTTTTTTTCTGTTTAAAATATATATTCATTATTTTATCGGGTCTACAATAGTATGCACGATATATAAGCTTAAACTTGATGTAAAATGGCATATGTGCATGTGTTAAGAGCTTTTTCTTGTTTTATAATTGTCAAATGCATGAAAATMACTTTTTACAGTATGGTCAGTTCGATCTGATACCATGAATTTCMTTTTTTTTCAGGGTTACTCCATATGTAATTGCACTGTTTATATCTAAATTTTGTCATTGTTTTGGAATATATGTGGCTTACGAACAGCTGAAGATACTTCGAATTACACAATTCCTTTTCATAGTTAGGTTATTGTAAGTATTTATTTAAGTATGATTATTTAGTTTTATAATTTATATCAAAAGTCAATCAAGATATAGTCAATTTTCCTTTTATCACTCTCATTTCCCATTTATTGTTGTTTTCCCTTTCCTTTTCCTTTTCCTTTCTCTTCTCTTGTCTTTTCCATTTCATTGTTTATTCTTTTCCTTTCATTAATATCCCATTCCTGGTCCAAATTGACAGTTTGTAAGCTGGTTGCATTACCATGCATAAGCTGGTTGCATTACAAGGTCTTATTTTATTTCAATTTCTCAGTCACATAATTCTTTCACAGCTCAGCATTGATTTTAGTTCTGCTTCAAAAGCCGATTTCATCRGGAAAAAAAGTAACTCCAAATCAGGTAATTTGTTATATCAACCTGAAGACGTGCTTTGGCAAAGTTTCACTTTYGCTATTGTGAATATTTCACTCTACTACATGTACTACATGCGGTTATTTAAGTGTGAATATAGTTGTAGACTTTGTAGACTCAAATTTCTATTTGATTCCCAAATTTTCTATATTTGTTGTGAGTCCAAAGACAGTTTGACTTAATGCGGCAAGTCCAATATAATTGCTGTTATGATGGTACTGATTTCTTCATTTATTTATTTTCACTTCATTCATAGAAGTTATTGTTTTTTCAGTKGTATAGAATCTTCAGACATGCCATTTTTTCCACAATTATTGCATTAGTATGGCTACAAGGTCTGACACTCTGTGGAGCATTAAGGTAAACCCCAGCCTTCTATGATACATTTGACCCTTTTGAGTTTGATGTCCAGYATTTCATTGATGTTATATTACWATGTTGTTATTCTAGGACTGTTCTAGTGTTTGAACAYAGTGAACTAACTGTCCTTGGTGCTCTTGGTGTTTTATTTCACACTGGAGTTGCAGGTCCTTCCAAGGTTTGTCAACTTATTTGCATGTAGATCCTGACTGAATGATTCTGACATTCTGAAATATGACTTTCTGAAATATGAAATTCTGACATATCTAACTTAGGCGTAGTTATTGAATTAAAGTGATTAGAATGGTTTATATAGCTTGGTACAATAATCTCAATAATCTAATTTGATGTTGTACTGTTATTCGCAGGCCAGAGGAGCTGTGCTTTTTCTTTTGGGAATCCTGTCYCTTTTGCTGTTTGATAATGAYACYCCWTATGAACATGCAACTCACAGTATCCTTGATAATAAGAGCATTAAATTACTTGGAATGTTGTCTGGATATGCCACATAGCAATCACAAATAACCATTAACATACAGTCAACATTGAACGTCACTTAGCGTGTCACCACTGTTCCTTGTTTTATCATCCCTTTTTGGGTATATCTTTTTCTTTCATTTTTGTCTTCCTAATCCTTGACATTTATCTTAAGATGAAGGTAGTAGTAGGTGGATGCATTTGTACTATCACATACTGTCCATGCTAGGACTACCAGACCATAAGGTATCATCATCGTCATTATCATTGACATCATCATCATCCCTATTATCAACATCAGCACTATCATCGTCAACATCATCATAACTATCATCATCAGCATTATCATCAACATTCATCATCATCATCACAATCATCATTGACATCAACATCATCACCATCATCATCAAGGTCATCATCATGGTTTTGTTACAATAAAGACTTTGGCAACTTATCTTTGCAATTCATTTGTTTTAGGGTGGTCTTATCCTTCTCTTACTGGGTCTATTATTAAATGTAGCACATGGAAACTTGGCAAGAAAATTAGCAGTTGAGATTGGAGGTACATTTCAATTATATACTGCTAAAT